GTCTAGTTAAATTTCTAAAATAACTGAATATTAATAATGTTCAATAGTCATCATTATTCTATATTTTATATATAGCATAGTTATTACTACATTTGTAATTGCTTTTTGAGTTTAATTTGATGTTTGCCGTATATGTCTGTAAAATATAAGTGTTCAGCAGCTAACCAAACTCTCTTTGTGTCTCTTAGATATGTGGAATTTAATTTAGTGTATGACAGAGGGGTGAAATTCGGCCTGGCCACACCTGGGTCTCGCATCGAGAGCATCCTGATGTCCCTACCACTTACTGCTAGGTAAAGGACTTTGTATTTAGCAAACATTGGCATGTTAGCTACTGCCTGTTACCATGGATCATCCTTTTTTAGCTTTTATTGTAACATTTTGTGAACTTTGTTTACTTATATAGCCTAATTTAAAGAAGTTACATTTTTAAAATGTTTTTTTTTACATGTTTTCCCTGAGCTCCACTTATAACACAAGTAAACGTTTTTCCACACCAAAAAGATTTTCACAACCATCTCCAAAAATGAGCTCATATGATAACCTCAAACAATAAAGGAAAATGGGATTCCTCATGATATGACCCTTTTAAAAACGCACAGTAATGTTTTGCAGTGAACTTCTTTCTTTAGGGTCTCATTCAAACTGTCTTTATTGTATTAATCTATTGTTTAATATTACTAACTCACTAGCCATAAATGTTTCATTTCAGGTGGGAGTACATGCACGAGCCCACAAAAGGCACTAAGGAAGCCGAGATGCTGGAGGTCTTACGGAACCCTAAAGAATGGATCTGATTGAGAGGAAGACCAGTTTACCTAGTCATCAATATTGGCATTATTAGATGGGAATTGTGAAAATGGTGGGTGGGTTTTTCTCTGGATTCGCTCAGTGATACCAAACTTCAATAAGTACAACATTCACTAAAACAGAAAATCAGCTTCTCTGACAGGACACATTCTCATCATTTGACTCATTGATTGTTTTTTCTGACTTAACTGCAGCACTGCACGATTACTGGCTTGGCTGTAATGAACTCTCTATCACTGCCATTGGCTGTGTGGATTCACTGGAGATGCAGTGTTTACTCCCGTGACAGTGTTACTTAGTTACAGCTTTGTTTCTGCTTGCACTGCTTTAATCATGACTACTGGTGTATTCGAAACCTGTAATGGCTTTGGTATGCTGTTTTTGAATGGATGTGTTAATCGCGTATGTCTAAAGGGTCATGTTTACCGTGTGCTAATGCAAGCGCCATGTCATTATTGCTTTTCTTACCCTGTTAATTTTTTTGTGCCTCACTTCAAGGTTGTTTTGTGTCCTGTCATGTGCTAACACATCTTTATCCTTGTACTTCTTTTTTCTTTTCTTTTTTTTTTTTACAGATATTAAAATAGGAATCAGAATTAGGAGTATTCTCAGGACATTATAATGTTGATATTTTGTGTATTACGAAACAAAATAAAGTTTTTATATGTGGTTTAATCTGGTGTACTGATAAATCTGGTCAATAAAGTAGTATAGGGGTTCATAAACCTAAAAAAAAAAAAACATTCAGTTCTGAGATGCTATTAATAACTTTTCCTGATATAAAAACTGCATTGTTTGTGTTCAAGTTTATATTAGGCATGGTTAATAATATTCATCTGATGTCTCCAAGGCAACGGAACAAACTTTGTGTCCATTGCTTGGGCAATTTAGTCACTTTATGAAGTTAATAAGTTATGACAGAACTACCTTTGTGTGCTTGTTTGCATGGAGGCAAAGTAATTCAGGTAGTAAATGTTGAAATTAAACTGAATTGTAAAGCAAGTACATTAAATCTGAAGTTTGTAACCTGTTTGGATTTGTTAAATTTAAAAGGGAATACTGTAAGACTTTGTACATTTTATATACATTAGATATGTATAATATGGTCATAATATTATAACACAACGTAATAATATTGCTATATTAGACTTCTCATACAAAAACGGAGCATGGCAAATTATGATTAACTTTATACATACACTACCATTCAAATGTTTGTTAGATTTGTCAGATATTTTGTTTTTAAAAGTCTCTCATGCTACCAATAATGATGTGAATTATTGCAATTTAAAAAAAAAATCTAAATTTCATATATTTGAAAAAACAAACATGCATTCCTGTGACAGCAAAGCTGATTTTTTTAGCAGCCATTACTAACATTAATCATTCTAACATAATGACTTGTTACTCATTATGAAATTCATTTAAATTCTCTGTATTATCAATGTTGAGAATAGTTGTGCTGCTTAATATTTTGATGTAAACCATGATATATTTTATGTAATAGAATAATACAATGAGACAGTTGTTGAAAATTATTTGTAACAATTTTTAAGTCTTCATAGTTACTTTTGATCAATTCTCTGTGTATTTGTTGAATAAATTAAGTGTATAAGAATAAAGAGGAGTGAGGGCCAAAAAAACTTATTACAAATAAAAGTCAAGCTCAATCATTACAAAAAAATTTATTTGTTCTTAATACATTTATATATACACATTATCTATCTCTGAGTAAGGCTTAAGCAATAAACACCACCACAATCACTCTTAACTACCACAGAAATATCAGCCTGCACATGTACAGCAACATCAGTCAAAGTCTGCCAAACTTGTAACATCATCAGACTGTATTTCAAATGGCGGTAGTCTTATTTCACATTACCTTTAAAAACACAAACAATTTTAGGCAAAGTGAGACTGTTTTGATTTTCACAAAGCTTTCTTGAGTTAGTGCTGGTGATGGATTTTCTTGCATATTTATGTCAGCTGAGCATGTTGTTGATGAACTGAGAATATAAACTGTAGAAAGCCAAGAGGATAAACCAAACAGCATTTGCCATTTTTTTCTCTAGTAATTTATCACATCTTACACATCAATTCATATTTCTTTACAAAGAGCAGTCGGTGCCCTAAAAAGTGCATTCACTCATAGTTAATGAATAAGTACAAATGCGTTGAGTTTTCCATTATGTTCTCTTTCCTTCACACACACACAAACACACACACACACCTGATATTTAATACTGAATATTTCCTTGTTTCTCCTTCTAATTTTTTAGGGGAGGACAGCTTGTTCCCATAATTGGATCCTAATCTGAAATTCTCTTGGTTTTTGTTTAGTGTAGCTGGGCCTGAGGTGAAAACTAGACTCTGAGAAAGAAACCAGGAATAAATGGTATGAGGTAAACGGTGTCCGCTTGCTGTTAAACACACAGACAAGCCCAACCTGATAGTTAGTGTCAAATATCCAAAATAGTTCTTTTAAGTCTGAAGAGACATTTCAAGAGGAAAAATCAGTAACACTTTACCTGAAGTGCACATATATATATATATATATATATGTGTGTGTGTGTGTGTGTGTGTGTGTGTGTGTGTTAAAA